ACTAATGTTTATTTTTTTAATTTTCAGATTATTTTTTTGCTAAAAGAAAAAAGACATGGCGCCCACTTATGGAATGAGCGTTCTTTTCCTTGGAATAACAATGTTTTTTCTAGCCCTTCTACATCCAAATGCTGAGGCCWTTAGGCATAGCGAGCAATGTGAATTCCGTGGTTACAAGCCCGGTGGGATTCTTCCTGGAATAAAGAAGATATCCGCAGTACCACCTGCCAAATTTGAAACKAGTGTCCTGGACACTACGCTTRACTATTTCAACCAAGGTGGAGGTGTTACGGCTGCTACATTGGGCGTCATCGATGCTGTAGGTGTATCACTAAAGGGATCACCCCAGGTTTCTGCAGCTCTGGGGATCATTGCTGTTGGTTTAGGATATGCTTCCAGTAGTCCTAGCCCTAATGACATCCTGGACAAGGCTTTTAAATCAGTAGAACTTCTGGCTGAAGAGGTTAATGAAAGAATGAGTCAGTTGCAAGACTATGCCGATGTAAAAGATTTGCAACTTGAGAGACTGATTATGACCAGAAATTACAAAGAGCTGTTTGATAAATGGTCTAAATGCGCGAAACATCGACCAGGACGAGACCCAAATCAATGTCAAGTAGATGCAGAGGAAGACATTGCAAGTGCWCGTTTCCATTTCCAGCCTTTACAAGAACTCTTCGAAGAGAAACAATCAAATGGAAAGCAAACGTACGACCCACATTTTTATTACAGATATGTTGCTACCTGGCAGTGGATGAAAAAGTACGAGGGTAAAGGTTATTTCTGGGCTCCCACTTACGAAGAGGTGAAGAAGCTTGAAATTGGACTCATCCCATTCCGTGACTATGCTACTCTGCATCTTGTAGCCTTAGAGGTGCTTGCCAACAGTTACAAAGATAAAGTTGGAGGTGAATCTTGTGAAATCTACAAGCATACCTTAACCCTGATTGCTCAAAAGTCAGACTATTACGTTCGCTACGTCAAATGGGCCTTTGAATGGATCTACATCCGACAATACGAAGAAAACATGTATTTTGGAGTAAAGGGAAGGGCAGGTGGAGGACCTGATTCAGCAACTCGCAATGGTTTTCTGGCAACCAGAAAATGTACAGGAGGCAAGTGTACCATCGAGTGTAGCCAGATGATGAAAGATAATGTTTGTACCGTACAAAAGAGACGCAGGAGAAAAAGAAGTTGGGAAGTCATGGAAAAGGCATCTAGTCTCTGTGATGGTTATATGGGTAAACTAAAGCAAGCGTTGACACAGTTCTGGACCGAAAATGTTCTACAAGTAGCAAAAAGCTGGGAGAAGTATGRGAAAGACGCTAAGGAAAAACTTGCTGCGAAGAAATGTAAGTACCGTATTTATGATATTATGGAATTTAGAATATGCAATATGGAATGTGGAATGCGCAAAGCAGAGTATGGAATGTAGTATATTTTCTATGGAAGATTATGGTTTAGAGCGGTGGCTTCGTGACCCTGCGCTATAAGGCCTTTTTAAAAAGTATAATAGCATAAGGACAAAATATTTGACCAAAAGCCATTTTCTAAAATTAAAAAAAAGCTAACGGCTGTTTAAAAGATACTCCCTGATCTAGTGAAAAATAAATAATTGTATTTGTATTTATTGTTATTGTTATTGTTTAATAARCCCATATTGAACGACAATATATACAGAACCTATTATATAGAACTTTTACAAACGTATAAACTGGTATTACTATAGGTGTTATTAAAAACTATTTACAAAGAAATTATAGAATAACATGCAATGAGATATTGTATGCACATTATAAGACATAATTTACGAGAAATCAATAATCAGATAAGTAAATAGGTTTTTAATTTTTTTTTACAAGAAGCCGGCGTTGTGCAATAGGAAAGACAGTTCAAAAATAAACCACAGGGCTTATGACATTTGAACTGTCTTATTCTTAGCTATAAAGACAAGGAAATAAATATGAATTGTAAATGGGAATAACGAATGACTAGGATGGTTTCAATGTAATTTTTAAGATATAAAAGTATGAAAGAACAAGAATCTAATAAGAATGTATCATAATAGCTAGGCCCGCTTTTGTTTTTAATCTATGTAAACGACCTTCCACAAAGTACAGATAAACTCCAGTTCAAAATCTTTGCTGATGATACAAATCTGTTTGCTTCTGCAAGAGACCTTAACTCATTAGCAAATATTATGAACCAGGAGCTTGGCAACGTTAAGGAATGGTGCGATGCAAACAAATTATCGATAAACACAGCAAAAACAAATTTTATGATGRTTAAATCTGCAAGGAAAAAAGATCATCAAATCGATATAAAAATCCCAACAAACAATGGATTGGGAGCCCATCGAAAGGAAAAGTTGTATAAATCACTTAGGTGTTATGATAGACGATTCAATGAGTTGGAAACAGCATATTTCGTACATATGCTCGCGCATATCTCGAAATACTGGTATCATTGCAAAATTAAGACACTACCTGTCAGTCAAGCAACTTAAGCAGATATATTACAATCTTATTTATCCCTACATATGTTACGCCATCATGTCCTGGGGAAGCATCAACACAACACATCTCATGAAAATCCAAGCAWAGCAAAATCACATCATACGTTTAATATTTTTTGCTACACTTTACGGTAAAGACACAGCAAGCGCTAAGCCTTTGATGAACTTGATGGATGTCCTTACAGTAAAAAACGTTTTAACTCTATGTTTAAATATGCTGGAGATGTGCACAATTACAATACAAGATATGCAAGAGACCGTAACTTGCATAAATCGAAGTTAGGACAAATATTGGCAAACAATCGATTTCGTTCACGGCTATCGATATCTGGAATAGTATTCCACTTGAACTTAAATCTTGCAAAAAAACCATGATACTCTTTCTCTTTCTCATGATACTCGAACAACAAATTATTGAATGTAAAGTCTAGATGTCTATTGATTGACTAAATATATTATGTTCTAGTGATATTATTCTCTTCTAAAATTCTTTTTTACTTAAATAACTATCCAATCATCTAAATTTATTGCATATACCTATAATTTATCATATTCTATTTACGTTTATTTTTCTCTTTTTAAACTTGAAATGCTATGGTAACTAAAAAAACTGGGGGCTAACTAGAAAACTTAACAGTTATTTTAGCCCCCAGGCTCGTCTTTTTTTTTCCAATTGTAATTTTTGAATCAAAATTGTAAACAAAATTG